TTTATTTAATAATAAAACAGAAAAAGAATATTATATTAAAAAAAAAAAATATGAATTACCTTTTCCGTTCGATGTTAAACAATCGTCTGCCAAAGGCAATTTGTCGAGACGCCACCTGGACGCCATTTCGCGGAACTAAGTCTGTTGAACTTTCTGGATGAAGGAGTTTGTTAATTTTATTATAAAAATTATTTATTTATTATATTATTTAATTTATTATTATTTAAGCCATTAATTGAATTGATTTGGAGGAGTTAGAAATGAATATTACTTTGAATCCGTTTTTTTTTACTTCGCCGATTTTTATTACTAATAAAGATGGCGCCTAACGAAATATGACGTCGGGCAATAAATAATACGTTTGCGGNTTCTTCCTCCTTCTCCTCCTCCTTCCTCTCATCTTCATCCTCCTCATCTTTATCCTTCTACAGAGATACTTTAACTATTAATAAATTAATTTATAAAATATTTTAAATGATATTTTATAAATTAATAACTTTCCTTAAGAAATAAATAAATAAGCTATTAAAATTATAAAAATATATTTTAGATAATATATGACACGATTGTTTATTAAAATAAGCTTAGAAGAGATGAAGATGTTTTTTTTTAATTTTAACCCCTGTAAATCATGTTTCTCCTTTGATCTCTCTTAATGGAAAGATAAATTTACCTTTTAAAATAAGATTTAATTTAATAAAATAAATATTTATAGATAAATTTATGAAAGAAAAGTGATTATATATAAAAAAAACTTCTTTAAATTTCATCGATTTTAGTCGAAAATAAACGTATTTAACAACGATTGACTGTGTAATTTCTACGGGATGGCACAGCGTATAATCGATTTATTGTACGAAAAATGATAAATATATTCGATTTTCGATCACTTAAAATCGTAAATATTAAACCTGTTTGTTTATATAACGGTTGCGATGGAGATTTATAATGAGAAATGCAAGAGATTTTTGTGTAATTCTAGTTAAAAATATTAAAAAAAATGCAAAATGTATAATTCGTTAGAGCATTGAAGATGTATTATTATCCTGTTCATTGTCTCTTCGAAGCGAATGGATAGTGTCTGTGCCGTTTCCTTCATCGAGGACGACAAGAGGAGGTTACTATGGTTACCAGGAGCGGCGGAGGAGTGAAGTTGCTGGACTGTGACAAGGAATAGAAGGACGAGTCCGATCGACATCTGGAAAATTGACAGCGCTTTGTCTCAAACTGTTATTTCGTTTCGAATATAGATTAAAATCATTTGAAACCGTCGCCGAAACGATTACTGAAATATTTAAAAAAATAAGAATGCCAAGCTGTAATTTATCTTGAAAATATGACGATATCGATTTCATTTAAAATACGCAAGGATCATCGATGAAGGATGAGCTTTAGGGACAACAAAACTTATGTAAATGAAGCCGAAAGAGGGTTTTTCTGCATCGCCGCTCTCGTCCCCGTTTCGTCTTACATTTAATTCGCATAAATCACCATCATTTTACGCTACTAGCGCATATAAACTTATTTATTATCTTCGCTGCCATCTATTTATAACTTTTTTAAAGAAAATTACAAGCGTTGATCGTTGAATTTTTTAAAACAATAATCCCGAAACGTGATCGTTTTATTTTTTGGTAACGTTTTAATAGTTATTAATAATATATTATTACGTTTTATTATTTTTAAAGTATTATTATATGTAAATAAAAGTAACAGTTATAAAGTTTTTTTTTTTATAAATGATAAATCGGATTTTTTTTTAAATCAAAACTAAGTTTAAATCGTGATGGCGCTTTAATGATGATGATGTCATTTAAAGAAGAATTATAAAATCGCGTTATAAATTTTAATGAACTTTAACATTCACAATTAATTTTAATTTTATTTAATAATAAAACAGAAAAAGAATATTATATTAAAAAAAAAAAATATGAATTACCTTTTCCGTTCGATGTTAAACAATCGTCTGCCAAAGGCAATTTGTCGAGACGCCACCTGGACGCCATTTCGCGGAACTAAGTCTGTTGAACTTTCTGGATGAAGGAGTTTGTTAATTTTATTATAAAAATTATTTATTTATTATATTATTTAATTTATTATTATTTAAGCCATTAATTGAATTGATTTGGAGGAGTTAGAAATGAATATTACTTTGAATCCGTTTTTTTTTACTTCGCCGATTTTTATTACTAATAAAGATGGCGCCTAACGAAATATGACGTCGGGCAATAAATAATACGTTTGCGGAGATAACAAGTTTGATAAATCATACCATAAATCTAGTTTTTAAATATTTTACGGATTATTTATTCGCTGTTTGCTAATGAAATGAAGGGAATATAATCCCGTAGTATCCCGTTTCAACTTCCAGTTACGTCATTAAGGAACGACTTAATATATTATAAATGCGTTCATTTATTAGTTCCGACTACTCCAATCCAAGTTATGGTTTGCACGTTTTAATAATGAATTAAGTTTTAGATCGTAGATATTAAAAGAGCGTTCGCTTATTAGTTCGGATCGTTCCAGTCTAATAACTAAACGCTCTTTTAACCCTTTGTTTACTGGTGGACAAAGTTTTGAAGTTTAATTAATACTTGTGCTTATTTTCTCCACGATTTCAGATTGAAAGATGTAAACTGAACAGTCTCTGGCCTAATTTTAATCATGTAAAGCAGATAAGATACATCTGTCATATACAATTCTTATTTTAAAGTTGCAGTACTTGCAGATACTATTGTTAGTTACACTGCAATAGTATTACTGCACAGGCCTATAATAAAATAAAGTAACTTAAAATGGCTTCTAGAATTATTGAATTTTCTTATGTCCAGAAACAAGAAAAAAAAAATACTCTGGAAAATCGAATCGATAATTTATAAACATTTCAAAAATAATTTTTTTTTCCTCTTGGCAGAAGTAAACAGTAAAGAATTTCTTTTAAAAATAAATGATTTATGATATAAATTCTGCATGTAAACGTTGCAAGAGTAAGCATATATTTTATATAATAAACTGATGTATATTAATAATACACGACAGATGTTTAGAATGGATAAATAGGATTTGATCCTAGCTGTATATAATTTGATAAGTGTGTGTTAACGTATAAATTGAAAAGAAATAAAAACAAATGTTATACAGTATATAATAAAGGTAAAGTTTGGCCATAGATCATTCGAGATTTTTACATTTTTTGAACTCGAGGGACACCTTGAAATGCCGAAGAAATGCAAAAATGGCACCATCTTTGAAGCTTAATAACTCCCGTGCCCCTTTGTCGTAAATTTCTGAAATTTTGTATGGAGGTTTGTTTATAATTGGCATTGATACCATAAAATTTTGGTGATTAAAGGTTGAAGGGGTGGAGAGATAGAAGGTTCACGCGTCATATCTCCAATGGATATTAAATATTATATACACATTAAAATATCTATTAATCTACACACATTTTATCTATATACATATTTATATACGTATCTAAATGGAAAAGTTTCTTAATTAATCAGTAGAATACGATTATCAAGAAAAACAGTCAGTCCCCTGGGAGATCTCGATCTACTATTTGGGGTAACTGTGGTATATAATTTCACTTTATGCACTGTCTTTGTAGTTAGTTTATATAATTAAATTTATCTTAAAATTTTCTATTAGTTATTCATGATTAAAATCAGTTTTTCTTTCGAGGAAACGTTACTGTATTTACAGTCTATCTTCTGCTTTCTAATTTATCTAGAGCCAATTTGAGCGAAACTAGTTTATAGAAATAGAGTTATAGATAAAGTCGAGCACTAAAGATAAAACAAAAGTCAAGTGAGACAACAAGGAAAGTAATTTTTATTCAACCCTTTTATACTAGATAACGGGATATAAATCCATACTCTTTACTGATAAAAATCAACTTCAAAAAAAAAGGGAGGCACTTTAATTAAATTTATTCGAGCGAAATACGCGGTTAACAAGTACACTATCAAATGATTTATCTCAATTCCAGTCCGGTTGTATCAATATTATTTTAAAGGAAATCCACAAAAATATACAGAACACCTTGCCAAATTTAGAAAAAAAGGACTTTAATTACTTTCTACAACAGAAGGAAAGTATGGCGATCAGTTTTAAAAAAATGATCCCCTCTAAGATTCTTATATTTTTGGACTCGGAACATTGAAGAAAGTTGGATTTTTTAATGTGTGTGGAGGTGTGTTCACTCACTTTAAAGCATAATAAATCTTGTTCCTTTTGTCCAAAATTTATGAAATTTTTCAGGGTTGTTTGTGTATTAGTGGGGAATATTTCTTGTAATTTTCAGGAAAATCTAACCATTGGTTCCGGAGATATGCCCACTCTCTTAATATCTCCCGAACTAATCCGAAGACTTACAAAGGATGGTAGCAATTATTAGGGATGAAAAATAAATAAATAATGTTTGGAAAAGTCCATCAACAACTTCTCCAGCTTTTCTTGTAGCGTTTATTCTACACGAAATTCAATTTACCTTTCATTAGAAAGCGTAGATTAATTTAAATTTATGTTATAATAATTAATAATAATAATAATTTCGAATATTCTACAAGGATATCTCAATTAATTTCTTCGGTTAATTAAGAAGTTAAACTGAGGAACATTGCATCATTTTTGATTTAAACCTTCCTTTACTAATTATATAATAACTGACATAAACCACGTGGGTAAATGTCTGGTATCAATTAATTTTAAAATAATACGTTAGAATATATAATAAATCAATTAATCCTTTAGTAAAAATGATAGAAATTTAAAACAATAAATTAATTATATTCGTAATATAAATGATACTTCTAGAATAATAAATTTCTAGAATTGAAATCGATCCGATTGGTCGATTAAAAATTTAAATTTTAAAAATAACGGTATTATTTTAATGACGTAGAAACTAGTTTGATCTTTATTTAGTACCTTTGTTTTACATAAATTTAATGGTATTTAATTTAAAATATTTATAATATTATTTTATTTTACAGGTTTCTACTAAAGGTGAATCCCATAGTGTTCGCCATGCACTTAAACCAGGCAACGAATTAAAAAACAGCTACAAAAAGCTAATTCCATGTGAGTTTTATTAAAGAAAAAAAAATTTTATTTTTAATATTAAATATAATATCAATTTTCTAAGAGATTAGTGAAGCGATTTTCCCGACGAAATCGATAATACAAAATGAAATTACGACGTAGAAAGAAAAAAAATATATATATGAAGAAAATAATTTCCCGAATTCAGTAGGATAATTATGTCATCCATCTTTGTTAATTATCTTAACGCCAGTAGAATAATTAGAAATTAAATTATTAATGTTTAAAAATTTATTTAACTTCATTCTATCTTATCAACTTTAAATAATATATTACAAATTAATTAAAATTTACTTTTATTGGGTTACAATTTGAAAATAATTGTAGACCTGTCTGTCTTTCCTTAAACTCGGCACTCGATAACCCGGCACTCCGGATAACTCGGCCACACCCTGGCAGGGCAAAAATACCCTTAGATAATTAATTTTCATCATAGACAGCTTTATGCCTCACAAAGTATTTTTCTGAGGTCTGTCTTATCAGGTAAATTACTGTACACAGTGTATTCATTAATTTTCATTTTCATGTAGTAAAGGCTCTATGCCTTCATAAAGGA